GATTAAGATAATATTATCAAGATTGATATAAGAAGATACACATAATATAATTGGGAATGTTTATGAGCTTTTTTTATCACATTATCATGTCATTTCGAGTAATCTGATGTCGTATAGGAAATCAATCAAAATTAATTAAAAAAAAATATTGATTTAATGGGTGTTTTCACAATAGAGGAGGATGACATTGCTTACTCACAAATTGTTAATCATATTTATAAGATTAAGTATATCATAATTTAAGGATTCATATAGTGAGTAACGTAAACCCTAACAACATAATAAAACCCATAATTTAGTAATATTAAATCCAGAACTATTTAAATTATAAAATTATAAAAGATAAATGATTGAGAAGATTAAAATAATCCTGATGAGCACATAACACAAAGTTTAAACGGCATGAGATGATGGTAAAAGATCGAATAATTTATAATCCACTAGCCAATCTCACTTCTACTAATGAATTCACAGGATCCAACTCACTTTTCCCAATATACACATAATTTTAATAATAATAAATCCAATTTAACTTTAATTAATTAAAATAAAAAATAAATTTATTTATATCAAAATGTACGTTTTGTTTATTTGTTAATTTTGACCTTTGACCAAATAATGTGCTCCCAATTATTAGTTACTTCTTTAATACAACTTGTGTTTGATTAGTTCATACTTTATTTCCTTATTTGTTACATCTTCTTTTAATTTATTTATTATTATGTTAATTCAATTTCTCATTTAAAGATCTGAACCCATTTTCTGAAATTACCAAAAGCACTAATTGTACGGGAAACTCTTAAATACATATTATTATTTAAATAAATTATCACAAATAAATTATAATCCATGATTAATGATTGGTGCTTCTGTTAATGTATGTTGTAAAAAATAAGATATTAGAGAAGATTAGTTTGAGTAAAAAATTTAAAATTGTTAAATATAGTAAAAACTATAATCATTCATTAAAAAATCAAAATAGTTTTCTTATTAAATTTTTAATGATGAGAATCTTTTTCTTTTTTTAATTTTCAATTGCTACATATTTGTATCTTTTTTTATTAAATTTTTAATGATGAGAATCTTTTTCTTTTTTTAATTTTCAATTGCTACATATTTGTATCTTGTTTTGAGCTACAATTCATTGTCTCTTTATCTTTATAATACAACGTATGAATTTTTTGAATATCAAGTTTCTTATTAAAATTAAATCTTTTTAATTTTTACAATATCAATTATGAATCGATTGTTAGGCTGATATCTAAAATAATTTACAACATTAATTTGTTCTCATATAAAGTTCTTTTTCCTTCTTTTACTTAATTTGTTTAGTTTGGGTCATTGATTGATTTTCAACTATTCAAATTAAGATTAACAAGATTTATACCTGACTAAAATAAATGAGTAGGGCAATTCTAGTGGCATCTGATTGACAACCCCATTTAAATGAGAATATGAATTGTCTCTTATTTTCTAATTTTGTAGATGATTATTGATAAGAATGTATACAAAATTAAGAAGATAAAGTTATATATTAGTCCTGCAAATTCAGATTAAGCTATATTATTTTTCTCAAAGACGGGAAAAATATAAGAGAAAAGTTAACGGTGCATTTGTTTTAGTATTTTAGATAGGATTTTTGATATTTTTAGAGTTGGGTGGGAATAACGAAATAGGATTTGAAACTTAACAAAAACACCCCTTAGGTTTGTTAAAAAAAATTAAAAATTACAAAAACACCCTGTAATAAAAAAATTAAAAATTACAAAAACACCCCCACTCACCCATTAAATTCCGGCAGTCAGCCACCACTGTTGGAGGGTGGCTGGAGTCACCGTATCGGTGTACAACCAGTTGGATTTAGTCGATCGTGCGCAGAGATGACATTTTCTAGTCGGATCTACCGTGAATTTAACTGGAAAATGCTAGACCTATGGCCAGATCTGGCCATGTTTGGTTGTCAATGATGGCCAAAGATATGACCATCGTTGATGGCTAGTTACGGCCAGATCTTTGACTATGGATCTGGCAGGAAAGACTAGTCGAAAAATGATAGATCGGCACACTACAGACAAGATCCAATAGGTAGTGCACCATTATACCAGATTCTGACCACCTTCTGGTGGTGGCCGATTGAATCTGACAAATCTGGATAGGTGAGGGTGTTTTTGTTAATTTTTAAACTTTTTTCTGATGATGTTTAATTAAATTAATAAATTTAAGGGGTCTAAAAATAATTAAATATAATATAATAGTATTTAATGAATAATAAAACAAACAATTATTTTGAGGATAAAATTGGAAATAGGGTAGAAAATATTCTATCAAACGGACCCTAAATTTTCTTGGAATATTCATGTCCATCTTAATTAATTAATCTTTGGATCCCTTATTAGTCAAATAATTAATGTCAATGATAAGAAGGCGTTTTTATGCTCATTATTTAATTAAAACCCAAGGTACTAGTGTACTTAAATGTCAACTTTGGAATTTATTATTTATATTTGTGTTGTTAAATCTGATTTGGGTATTATAAAAATGGGCATTTCACATGGAATTTCTTGAGTCCCCCATATTCCCCGATCTTCAAGCACGCAAAATCCAATAAACTAAAGTACAAAGCACAATAAAAAGATAAAGAGATAAATTAATTAATAGACATAAATAAAGATACAGATACCAAGACAAGAAAGTTAATAATGTATAATTTTGTAGATGATTTCGACTGTTGAGGCAGGCAGTTGCATTTGCAGCAGAAACAAATTGCAATAAAAATAAAATGAATACATGTGGATGTGGGTGCATTTTGGTTCACAAACACAATACCATCTACAGTTAATAATACAAAACAAATATGAACTCATCTCCCAAAAAAACCTACCTCTTAACTGGTAAGTCCCTCTTACAGAGAAAGCAGTCCTGCAATTGCATGAACTGCCTTCAAAAATCTGGAACCTTTCATCTAGGGATTACCTATTCAGGATATTTCCATTATTTCACAGGCTCAAATAGATTTTGCATTTTAAATAAGAAACGTTTATATAATCGGTTAATTGGAAAGATTTTTATTGTTTACAAACCAGAATACTCTTCATTTTAGTATTGTCTCAATTTTAAAAGTTCAAATTCTATCCCCCTAAACTGCTTATTTGTTCTTAACGTTTGTTATAATAAAAGGGTGTATAATATTATTATGCCTCAAAAGTTACGCTTATGTCAGCCTAATAAATATCTTTTTGTACTAGCTGCCAAACCCATATCTCCTCAAATATATTCTTACCAACCCTATCTCATTTCAAGAAATGAATGGACGAGAGCCTTCCATGTGTCAATGCAACTTACAAAGCACTCATTACATTGAGTTCAGAGATGTATAAATTGACACTTTTCTTCCCGAAAAGGGGGGCTGGGCATATGAGAGCTAACCATAGTTTGAGCTCAATTATTTCTCTCTGTAAACACTATATTTCTTCATCTTTGTACGTCTTATGGGCAATATCATAGAAATAGTCAAAGATCAATAAAATAACAGTGGATGTAGAAGTCGCTTTAAGCATCCGAACCACTACAAAAACCTCTCTTGTTAGCCTATTATTATGTTTTCTGCAACATACATAATCTCAGCTCCATATTCAAATCTCATGGATCCATCACGTGTAATTTCTAAGACCCTCTTAGCACTTTGCATGTGCGAGTCGTTGGCATCCAAAATCAAGTGTCAACAACCAAACTGTTGATGCGTGATTTTGACACCAACCAAACACACGTGTGAAATGCTGAGCAGACCTAGGGAACACATGTGAATATTAAAATGAGAGTAAATGCAATGGAAAACAGTGTTTAAAGTGGTTCGGATGCTGAGGAAGCGAATCCTACGTCCACTAATTTTCGTATTAATGATAGAGGTCAGGTCGCATTAGCGGACTAACTTACAAATGATTGTACAAGAGAGAGAATGTTATATATTTTTGAGAGAGAGTAGCTAATCCCATAAATGAGAGAAGAGCTCTCAATTTATAATGGGATGGATTAAGATTATCATTACTAAATCTGTGAGTTGGTGGGATTATCCGTACAAATCCTTCTTTATGTCACATTGCCCACCTTCCACAGTGATTTACGTGATTTGGTGTAGTGATTGGACACGTGGAATCACTATGGCTTTTGGCTGGTCTGACGCGCACCTGCTTTACTAACAGGAGTGTGCTGCTCAAGTCACCACGCGACGTGGTTGCTTCTAACTAGCTGCAGGCCTACCTAAGATCTGATCTTTTATGCTGACTGAGTCTTACGTCAGCCCTATATTTTTCAGGCATAACAAATATTATCATAAATTGCAAAGTAATTAACTCTATCTTGAGAGGTTGGAGATAGCTAAGTTTCATGTACTCTTAATAATATTTGGAAACTCTTAATACTTTATTTTGAGATTCTTTTAATAGTTTTTTTTTTTTTTTTGATATTTTTTTATGAAGTATTTGTTAACTCGAGATATTTGATAGTTTTTAAAAAAAAAAAATTGTTGAAATACTTAAAAGATAACAATTTTTCAAGGTAAAAACGAAATTGACCCTCTCTCTCTCTCTCTCTCTCTCTCTCTCTCTCTCTCTCTCTCTATATATATATATATATATAATCTCATGATTTACATTGTTAGTTTTATGTATAAATATTATCGTTCTATTGGATAGGTAAGATTATCGACAAGTATACCTCAGAATTATAGATAGAGCTATAATTGGAATAAAGAAACAAAATCAGATAACGGGTTAGTTTTCGAGACAGTTGGACCATACTAGTAACCGACGTATCCTAACTTCAATGCCAAATATAAACAAACTTTATTTTATTTTATCTTTCAATATATAATAAATTAAAAAGCAAAATTTCATTAATTAAAATATTCCAAAATTTCAGTCCACCATGCACCTCCCAACTCCTTTAAATCTCCTTCTCCACCTCCCCACTTGAAATTCACACAAACCAAACAAACCCTCAGAAAAAAGAATGGATTCATCAAAGAAGTCTAATAAAATTACTGACATTGTTAGACTTCAACAAATCCTCAAGAAGTGGAAAAAACTTGCAAATGCACCCAAAAACATCAACAAAACTTCAACCATTTCTTCCATTACTTCTTCTAATTCATCAAATACTACCAATAAAAGCATCAAGTTTCTAAAGAAAACCCTCTCTTTTTCTGATGTTTCAACTGCAGGAGCATCCAACGACGTCGTCCCGAAAGGGTTTTTAGCGGTTTGCGTGGGGAAAGAGTTGAAGAGATTCATCATTCCCACAGAGTATTTGAGTCATCAGGCATTTGGGATATTACTGAGAGAAGCTGAAGAGGAGTTCGGGTTTCAACAAGAGGGAGTGCTGAAGATTCCATGTGAAGTCTGTGCTTTTGAGAAGATCTTGAAGGTGGTTGAAGAGAAAAGAGATGTGCTTTATTTACATGAATTAGGGTTTTATATAGAGAAAGATATGATTGGTTGTTGCTCTTCAGATTGTGAGTTAACACCTTCTCATCATCCTCAAATATGTAGATGAATTAATGGTTAAATAATTAATCTTGAAGATGTGTTTAATTTCTTCAAGAACCAACTCTTCTTTTTTCTTTGTTGGGTTTTTTGCTTTTATTTTACTTTTTTGTGAAAGGAAATTTAGATAGATATATGAGTGAGAATTTAGAAGGAGAAAGTAGAGTTGAATAAGGTAGAGTGTTTATGTCCATTGAGAAAATATTCACCAGCTGGATTAATTTCTATTATCATCCAGGTGAACTTCATGTATCTACCATTACTTTTGTGCAAAGGAAATTGAGTTAATTTTCTTTTCAATGCATGCATAATGTTGAATAATTTAGCCTTCTGGTTTTCATTTCAAGCCCCCATTTCTAACCCCACGCTAGAAGACTGATGTGGCTAGAAATGGGATGCCCTGACGCAGATTGCACGGGGAGAAGTATATTTACTGTCAACGCGAGTTGGCGTCTGCGTCCAACATCGGATTCTGGTGTCAGAAAGCGGCGTTGGGACATTATGGTTTTCCGGTAGAGTCGGGAAATCAAATTTCATATTAACTGCCCGATTAGATGTTTTTGCTATGTAAATTTTACAATAACTGGTGTTTGTTTGAAATGAACTTGAACGAAGGGAGAGAATGAGCGGTATCTTCATATGGCTAGTTCATAATCAATTTTTTTACTGTACAAGAACATGTGCTCGAGGGTGGAACAGTTTTTATATATTATAATTATTAATTAATAAATTATCTTAATTTGATCACTCTGCAGATCTGCATTATATTTTGGACTAATTGATTTCCACCTTTTGGACAGCAAGATGAGCTTTGTTGTGATGACATGTTTAGCATATTATTATAATAAAAAATGCTATTCTTATAAATACCCATACCGTAAAAAAAAAAAAAAAAAAAAAAAATAGAAAGAGAGAAAGAGAAATCATGAAAATCAAATGTTTGAATCCTTTTATATGTGTCTTTGTAAAACTAATATTACCCTATTATAATTAGTGATGATATTTTTAGTACACACTACGGACTCTATTATTAGTGCTTGCACTAGCACTAATAATAGTATGTACGTATTAGTACTACATAACAAAATTTAATTTCTCTTTCCCCTAAAACTATTAATTAATTAATTTAATCAACAAGTTGCCCCTGTAATTTTCTTTATCTCCAATGTCTTCCATTTACTTTAATATACATATTTTATGATTGCCACTGCTGCCTCATGCTGTGCTTACTGATTTGATAATATTTTCTTCAACCTTTCTTACTAAAATACTTCAACATCAATCATACCATGATCTTAAATTTTATTTATTTATTTTAGCGTTAAATAAAATTCTTTTCATTACTTACCCATTACGCATACTCAAATTTGGGTATGGAATTGGATGATCTCAAACTATATATATATACTGATTATTAACAGTGACTTGTTCAAATTACAAAATTTTAAATGACAGTCTTGTCCTTCTCAATTTTAATAGAATGTCGACCTCGTTGGCCTTTGGGATGGTAAATGATGAATTTTTGAATTGTTTTAGGGAGAGTTTGATTAAAATGATGATAGTTGACATCCGAAGGTGATTTCAATTAAACATAGAGAGATATGTGATTTTTGCCTTTTTTCCCCCCCTCGATTCTAATTGGAATTTCTAGGGATATGATTCCTGTATGAAACGAGTTCACTATCATCTTGCCAACTAATATCATCGAGGAAAACTTTTTGTATCTTGTAAATCATGTAATGACTCTTCGGTTATCAATTTTCTTTTTTGTTTTCATAAAAGGAAGAATGTATGTACAACTCTTATAGCCTAAAAAATGAGAAGAGAAAGAACACTTTAACTAGATAACAAGATAAAAAACGAAAACCACCACTAGGTGACATAATAGTAAAAGAGTAAAATAAGGTTTTATAAGCTCATGAGTTTGAGTCCTTCCAAGCACTAATAGGGGTAATCATTGAAACTCTTACTCGATCGACTGTTTCAACGCCTTGGTGGATTAGTTGAAGTGTGCACAAGCTAATCTAGACACCCCTGATGCTTAAAAAAAAAAAAGGATAAAACACAAACAAACTATTCAAATTATCACAAAGTAAAAACTTCTATCTCAAATCAAGTTTTTTGTCACATAGCAAATGGGAACCAAAATTAACAAATTTGATATAAGCTTTTCAAGACAAACAACTTGAGTTACGATTTATGGGTGTGTTGTGGTATTCTAGTTGTCAATGGTGGCTAGAGAAACAAGCATTGTGGAAATAGGTAAGGACACATTTTTATCTTGATGGCTGCCAACAAGGTTGCGATGCGGTGGCCAAGCTTAAATAAAATTAACAAACTTTGAAAAGAAAATTTTGGAATGAGTTTTATTCACCACTTATGCAATGTTCAGTTATGCTTTATATAGTAGTTTATAAGCAATGCAACTAATCTAACTTTTAACTGATTTAGTCAAATAAGGCTAGCGTGGCTAACAAACTTAACAACTTACTAAATTCAAAATAGAGATCTCTACCCCTGTGATCGGATGACAAACCCTTTAGTTACTGGGTTAGTTATACTCAGAGGTCCTGTGTTCGAGTTACATGAAATATATGATAAGTGCATTTACCGTGGTCCATTGGGCTTGTAGGGTATTCTGTGACTCTAAGGATTAGGCAGGCTCTAACGTGGGCTTGGATGCTTTAGATACCTAAGAGTTAAAAAAAAAAAAAAAAAAAAAAAAAATCACAATAGACTATCTATTGCTAAGCTCAAGTTTGTGAAGCTTGCCATTGAATCCTTTATATCCTCCCTTAAGTTGAACAAGTTGGAGCTAAACTAGAACTTAACTCTCTACATCCTTCCTCAAGCTAAACAGGCTGGTATTAGATTATTTTCAAGCTAAATTTGAATTCTTTATATCCTCCCTTAAGCTAAACAAGCTGGAGTTAAACTATAATTGAATTTTCTATTTCCTTCCTCAAGCTGACCAAGTTGGAGCTGGATTCTTTTCAAGCTAAATATGAATTCTTTATATCTTCCCTTAAGCTAAAAAAGTTAGACAACTTGATTAGCTTATTTATGAAAAGAAAAATGCTATCCTTACAAAGACTTATACAAAGAGGACTATAAAAAGAAGAAAAAAACAAAGAAAGAACGGAAAAAGATGGAGAGAGAGAGAGAAATCATGAAGATCAAGGGTAGCAATTGTCTTTATATGCCCCCTTTGTATTTGTCTTTGTAAGACTAGCACTTCTCTTATGAAAAATCTCTAACTGAGCAAGCGGTAATGGTTAAACACATCTACGAGTTATTGATCAGAAAGGATGTTCCTCACTTTGTAGTTCTTTGCTTGCAATTTTCTCTCTGATGAGGTAATCTCTCTATATGCTTTGTTTAGGCATACTAAATGATTTGATTTCAAGGTTGCTACATTGACATTATTACACCACAAAACAGGTGTTGAAGACATCAACTTCACTCCAATGCTTTAAATAACTGAAGAAGCAAAGCTATTTCAACGGCAACTTGAGCTAATGCTCTATAATTAGATTCTAATGATGATCTTGCTACAACATAAGACTTCTTGGAACACCATTGAATTAAGTTTCCTTCTAGATAGATACAAAAACCACTTGTGAATCTCCTATCATCCAAGTTGTTAGCCTAATCTGCATCAGTATAGATTCAAAGGTAAAGCTACCTGAAATTATAAACCATTCTGCATAATGTCTTTGAGATACCTTAGTAGCCTTTTACAAGCTTGCTATTGGAGCACTGTTAGAGAAAAGCAATGTTTGGTCTTGTAATGGTCAAGTACTGCAATGCTTCAATAGGTTTTCTACACAAACTATTATTAGTAAAAAGTTCATTGTCATTTTGAAATAATTTGCAAGAAGATAACATAGGTGTAGGGCAAAGATTGGCTTATGCTAGATTAGTTTTCTTAAGCTAGTCTTTAATATACTTTGTTTGAGTCAAACAAAGCCCTTTCTCATCTTTGATAGCTTCTATGCCAAGAAAATAGCAGAGTACCAAATGTCTTCAGAGTAGACCAAGAATTCAAATCTGTAATCAATTTGGCTGTATAATGCTTGCCATATCCATTAACTAGTATGTCATCTACACAAACAACTAGATATGTCACATGACCATCATCAAAGTTGAAATAAAATAGGCTCGTATCAGCAATTGAATTCTTAAATCCCAAAGCTTGAAGAGTTTATTCCAGTTTATCAAACCAAGTGCTTGAAGCCTATTTAAGACCATGGAGTGCTTTAACCAATTTGCACACATGATTTGGATACTAAAGATGCACAAATCCTTCTAGCTAAATCATGTAATTACCTGTTGAAGATCCCCCTTTAAGAAAACATTGTTAACGTCCAACTATTGGATGTCCCATCATTGTGTTATTGCTAAAGTGATAATCACTCTAACTATGGCAGGTTTGATAATTGAGCTAAAGGTTTTAGCATAGTGAAACTAGGAGTCTGCTGAAAACCCTTAGCAACAAGCCTTGCTTTGCATCTTACTATTAAACCATCAACTTTTTATTTGATTCTATAAACCTATTTGGTGCCTATAAGATTCATATTAGAATAATGAGGAACTTATAGGGTTTATAAGCAAACAACATATCTACAACCTCTTTCACCTTCCGAATATATTCATTAACAAATAGGGATCCTATGGTTATTGTTTGAAGAGTATGCCTAATGTGCATAATTTGTGACTCAGCTTAAGAGATAATCAATTTCTCTAAGGTACACCAGATTTCAGAGATAAAAGAGATTGAACAGTTCATGAGCTATAGACTAGCCATTTGACTCCATATACATGAATGGATTGAGTTTGGATTTTGGAATCATTATTAGATGAGAGAACTCTGGATTCTTTAGGTGCAAGTTTGGATTCAGTCAAGAAATGCTCCAAATCGAAAGCTCGCACAATAGATAGAACTTGTGATCTTTTATATGCATTATTCTTATGGATAAATTTATTGTAATTGGTGGTAAGTTTGAAGAGGTTATAAGTGGGGAAAATGTAGAGAAATCACTCACATTTGTGTGATCTAATGTATGAAAGAAAACTTTTATCTGTTTATGAGGTGTAGCTAAAATTTTCAAAATAATTTTGAGTGTTTGGTAATACCAACAAGTCGTATGCAGTAAAAGAAAACAAAACAACGGCTAATTCAAGTTCAGCCGGACTACAAGAAAAGGAAATGATTAGAATTCTCTCTGCCATTTAATTAACTTGGAAAGTTTTAAATACAAGTAGTGGTAAAACAAATTCCTAATAATCAACCCGCA